TCTTCTCTCTCCCCTCCCTCCTCTCTCTCCTCCTCTCCTCCTCTTCTTCTCCTCTCTCCTTCGTTCTCTCTCCCTCCTTCTCTCTCCTCCTCTTCTCTCTCCTCTCTCGTTCTCCTTCTCCCTCCTCTCCCTCTTCTCTCTCTCCCTCCCTCCTTCTCTCTATTCTCCCTCCTTCGTTCTCTCCCTCTCTCCCTCGTTCTCTTCCTCTCTCTCCGTTCTCTCCTTCTCTCTCCGTTCTTGTGTTTTCCCCTCTCTCTCTCTCTGTTCCCTCTCCCGTTCTTTCTCTTTTCTTTCTCTTTTCTTCCTCTCATTCCCTCCCTCGTTCTCTCCCTCTCTCTCTCTCCATTCCTTGTTCTTTCCTGTTTCTCTCCTCTCTCTTCACCCTCTCTCTTCTCTCTCTCTCTCTCTTCTCTCTCTCTCTCTCTCTCTCTTCTCCTCGTTCTTTCTCTCTGTGTAATGAGGTTCTGTTGGAGCAGTTTGTTCCTCGGGGGCTTGGGGGGGGGGGGGGTTTCGCTCTCATCCTGGGATCAAAGTGGACACACCCCCCCCCCTCCCTCCATCCCTCCATCAGTCCATCCCCCCATCTCCATCCCTCCGTCTCTTCATCTCTCTTTCTCTCTGGTGATAATGACCTGAGTTTCCTCGTTCGCTCCGACGGGCGACACATGAACCTGCCGATGTGGTGATGGAGAGAAAACTACAGGGAGAGAGAGAGAGAGAGAGAGAGAGAGAGAGAGAGAGAGAGAGAGAGAGAGAGAGAGAGAGAGAGAGAGAGAGAGAGAAGAGAGAGAGAGAGAGAGAGAGAGAGAGAGAGAGAGAGAGAGAGAGAGAGAAGAGAGAGAGAGAGAGAGAGAGAGAGAGAGAGAGAAGAAGAAAGAAAGGAAAAGAAAAGAACAGAAAAGAAAAGAGGAGAGACGGTGTTGTCCAGAAGTGTCAAACTCATTTTGTTCCGGGCGTCGTGTCCAAACGACTTTGATCCAAAGTGTCCGGATCAGAAAAACTCATGTCATATAAACCCCCAAAATAACAATAAGTTCAAATACTTGTGCAAAGAAACACAAATCTATTACAGAAATCTTTTTGAATTGATGAACTCTTTCTTTTACAAAATATTATAATATTATGAACAACCTGAAATTTTAAGAAAAACTAAATTTCAACACAAAGTTTGAACATGAACTTGTCTGTAAACAGGAATAAGTAAATTTTTGTTGTAAAATCCTGCACTCGGCTCCACTTTTCTCATGTTGGACATTTTTCTGATGAGGGTGTCACGGTCAACAGTCAAAACGATCGTCCTTTAAGAGCGTTTGGAAAGAGACAAGTCTTCATTTGTGCTGCTCTGGTGGGAGGGGCCACGTACAGAGACGCTGGAGACGCTGCTGTGATAAACACCACTGAAAATTAACACCATTTTAATAGAAAATATCATTAAAATATTTGAGTAGAAAATCAGCCGAGGGCCAGATTAAAGGTCTTGGAGGGCCGGATCTGGCCCCCGGGCCGTATGTTTGACACTCCTGATGTAGAGAGAGACGAGAGGAGGAGGAGTGGAGGAGTGGAGGGTGAGAGGTTCCTGAGGGGCAGACGCTCCGAGGAAAATAACACAAACAAACAAAACGACCGACGAGTCGACGAGAAGAAAAAAAACACAAAATAAAATCTGTTTCTTTATCTGAACAGTGACGTCCTCCGACCAGCACGACGGACATGTACGTACACTTTTACTGTACAGGTGCATGTATATCTCACCTGTCGGTCTGTCAGGTGTGTACAGGTGTATTATATCTCACCTGTCGGTCTGTCAGGTGTGTACAGGTGTATATATCTCACCTGTGTCTGTCAGTGTGTACAGGTGTATATTTCTCACCTGTCGGTCTGTCAGGTGTGTCAGGTGTTTATTATCTCAGGTCTGTCAAGGTGTACAGGTGTATGTATATCTCACCTGTCGGTCTGTCAGGTGTGTCAGGTGTATTATATCTCACCTGTCGTCTGTCAGTGTCAGTGTGTACAGTGTATATATCTCACCTGTCGGTCTGTCAGGTGTGTACACAGTGTATCTGTCATTTCTCACCTGTCGGTCTGTCAGTGTGTCAGGTGTATATTTTCTCACCTGTCGGTCTGTCAGGTGTGTACAGGTGTGTATTTCTCACCTGTCGGTCTGTCAGGTGTGTACAGGTGTATTATATCTCACCTGTCGGTCTGTCAGGTGTGTACAGGTGTATTATATCTCACCTGTCGGTCTGTCAGGTGTGTACAGGTGTATTATTTCTCACCTGTCGGTCTGTCAGGTGTGTACAGGTGTATTATTTCTCACCTGTCGGTCTGTCAGGGTGTACAGGTGTATTATTTCTCACCTGTCGGTCTGTCAGGGTGTACAGGTGCCGCCTGTCGGGGCTGAACCTCATGTCTCGGAGCAGAGCACTTCCTGCGTCGCTCACTGTCACTTTCTCGTAGATCAGAGCCGCACGAGACGAGCTCACCGAGTTCACCAGGAGCT